CCGCCCAACCCTCGCAACGGAAAGCATGAAAGAAAAACAAAGAACTCATTAAAAGATTTCTAAAAATCAATTCACAAAATGATTCAGGGTTAATCCTCACCAAACAGTAACTGAGAGACATAAATCTGAAACAAAATCCAATAAATGAACATGAAACAGTTTCTTAAATATCATTTGTGCTCACTCTAATTCTAACAAATCAGCAACAGAACACCACCGAATGACTGATGTCCCACATTCGAGAACTTCAGTCACAGCACCATAAGTAGGAAGGTACCAGCATCATTCATTGACATCAGATTGCGCTGGCCTTGTGTGAGGTATCAGAAAACTTTCCTGACACAATCAACACTATGCTTTATGTCAAAACGCAGAGATGTAGATTACCATCACGCGTACAGTAGAAGACAAAGACATGAGGTAAACAAAAAACTCTCAAATCCTTTAGGAAAAAACACAGAGACAAGATCAGACAAATTTGTTAACCCTGCTTAACCAGATGATCAATGATCAAGACTTCTACAAAAATGCTCCAGAAGAGAAGCTGGCAACAAAAGAGTTCAGGTTTGGTGAACAATATCCAGTACACTAGCCCTATGCTTTGAGTAAAGACACACACATCAACGCACTGTAATGGCCATTCAGTGCAGGGGAAAAGCAAAAGAGACTGATGGAAACATAAGAGGGAAAGAAAAAAAGTAGGAACCATCCCTTGAAACCAGCCTGAGCCTTTTTAAAATGTTACTTATCTGAATGGCATTTATAATTGATACTGTTTTCAAGCAAGTCTCTTCAGGAAAATATATGTATGTTTTATGTGATGTAGGCCAATGGTCTAAAACACTGAATAAAACAAACACCTACTTAGTCTGAACCCTCCGAGGGTTTTCACACTAGCTCTTATAAATTTTCAATGGACCCACAGAATACAGTTTTTCTGAGTCAGCCACTTAGTAACCAAGAACACTGCAATAATTCTACATGTTATACACCCCCCATCAACACAATTCAGATCATCTCAACAAGGTGGGAAAATATTAGAGATCCTGAGGGAGGCTTGGTAAAGGGAGGGTCATGAGGTAAAAAAACCATACATGTGGCTTCTGAATAAAACTAAAAACAAGTTACCATAGCGCACAAAATTCCTCCTTTACAATAGTCATCAAACGCTGCATTTCATTCTGGCATGTTTCATCTCCCACTTATAAATGTCAACAATATATATCCAAAATCCTGGAAAAGTAGCTCCTAAACTATCACTACGAATATATGAACCACAAATACACTCCCAAACAAATGGGTTTCCATAACATTATTTTCATAACATGTGTGGTGCAGTGTGCAAGGCAAAAATACATCTTGGAGGCTAACAATTTTTAATTTTTTTTTTTTAAGAATGGTTAACACAGCTCTAAGGCCAGGCAGCACAACAAGAAGTTCACAACTAGCACTTGTTTCATGTCAGCGTCATCTGTTGAGTCGTCTGAAGCAAATCAGCACAAAAAACAGCCACACTTTTCAGAACGTACATAAGGACAGTATAAAATATATAACAGAACTGAACAAAGCCCTAGGGGTGGACCACACACAGCCAACTATCCATATATATCAGGGCAGAAAAACTATGATGATGGCTGACAGGCTGTAAACCTGAAAAATATGAAAAAGTCAAAAATCTGTATAAAATATTGAATATATGTGAGGACTATTTTTCAATGTTAGACTCAAGTCATTTGTACATACCTTATATATCACACTTGTAAGTGTAGTTGCTATGAGTGATGGAACACTGATTTTAAGACACCAGAACCTCTCAATATGATACAAATAATAAGGAAAATCAGTTTCTTCCTGTAAGTCTAAAAATTATTTCCAAAAAAAAAACAACCAAAAAAAACCCCCCCAGAAAACAACCTAAAGTGAAAAGCTCATGTCTCAACTAGAGAAAAAAAGGATAACATTTCGTTTATACATTTGCTTCTCCTAATAGCTCATTGAACATTCGTAGCCTATTTTGAAATGCTCGTGTCCATGGGGGCTTTGTGTTCTCCATCATGAAGGGAAATTCAGGCCACATTCGACTGTGGTGCCTTCCAGCAGCACAGAGTTGCTATATTGTTCTGCAAGACAAGACTGCAGGAAAAACATTTTGATCCATACCCAAACAAAAGATTAATACCAAGTTACAGCCCCCTTCTTTCACAAAACAAGACTCCAGAAAATTCAAAAGCAAACTGAAGAAGGGAGCAAAATGTCAGCTTTTAGAAGTCACAATGCCCAAGCAGGCATTTAGCCACTACACTTTTAGTGAGAGTAACATGAACCTCTCAAAAATGTACATCACAATTCTTCTATCGCTAAATAAAAACAACAACAGAATAAAAATTGAAGGAAAAAAAAAAAAAAAGAACCCAAATGACATCATTAAAAAAAAGGATTAGTACGGAAAACATCGAAATGAAAATCACATTGTAGTTTCACACTTTTATAACACAACTATAAAACAAAACTAAATAAAAGCTTACATAATATATAATGAAAGAAAAAGTAAACACAAACTCATCAATACGTAATAAGTCTACTTCAAAGCTGACAACCAATAAAGAGCTCATGTGCATATTTTACAAGTATTTCTATTCTCCAGTCATAGTCGCCCCAGTCTTCTCTTTCAGCAGTGACGGCATAAATCATGTGAAGATCAGAAAGACACCACAGCTCATATTTGAACAACGCGACTATGTTATGATGATTTACCAGTCAAAAATGAGGCCAGAGTCACCAAAACAGAAACTACACTTCATGTCGTAAGGTACTGTGTGCAACTGAACAGAGTAGTGAGGTTCTTCAAAACAGAAGATCCAATATTCTTTACCACCTAGCACCTAGCCCACTGGGCAAGGTGCTAGGAAAAATTTCTCAAACAACCCAATTTCACAAAAGCTGATATGAGAGTTCAGGACATGGTTGCGGCCTAACATAAATCACCTTATCTTTACTTTTTTATTTTTTTTTAATCCTCAGTTGCCATTAAGCGCCAAGGGTAAATGTAGTTTTCTATGGTAGGCCAGCTCTACAGTTTTTTCAGTTGAGACGTTATAATTTCTCAGAGTTCCCTTGAATCCATCAATCCATCTTTTGCATGGTCTTCCTCTTCCTTTATAGCCCCATTACTTGGTGTTATTGGCGTGATACACCGTCAGCACTAAATGTCCATCAACTAACAGTGCAATCAATTTCACAAGGAGTATCAGAAATACCTGTTTGAGGTCCAGAGAGTTAAACCAATGCACTATGACAGAATGGCTGTCATTTTACACATCTTTAAAAATGAAGGGAACAAAGATTTTCTAACCCTGTATAGCAAATTTATAAGATTAAGTTTCAGTGTCTCTAACCTGATTTTGACACAAACAACAAAAAAAACATTTTCACGTGGGACTATGGAATACAAAGAGAGGATAAACAAAAAAGTACGCTGGCGGAAAGTAAATTTGTGCATAATGATACACTTTCAACAAATATACATCCCTGATATGAAACTCTTGTCTCAGAGGACAAATCAACCAAAATCAACATTATTACAATAGCATCAATGACTTCAGGAGACTAAAATCATATAGAATTAGCAGTAAGGTACGAAGTGGAGGACTCCATCAGATCTTTGGCAAAACAAAGAGGTGCAACAAAATAGAAAAAAAAAAAAAAGATTAAAGTCATTTCCAAAATAAAGAGCAGAAATTGAACGAACAGAAACAAAGTCAGCAAATCACACTATAAAAGTAGAAGTTTTTTGGGGGGTTTTTCACAAACAGCAACCAGAGCCCCTTACGTTAAAAAATTAAAGATCCAATGAGAGATATAGAGGCCATCACAGACATCCAAAACATTTTCAGAACACAAAACAACGCACGCGCATTCAGCAACCAGCAGATGTTTGCCAAACCTTAGAACCATCATCACCAGAACTACCCAGATAAGCTGTTGAAGATAAATTCACATGCAGTAATACAGGGAAGACAGTCTTAAACATTTGAGTGGTACAGAAAATAGAGAGGCAACAAAATTTCAGACACTTTAAACAACTAACTATGATCGTCCCATGACAGTACGCAATAGGTGGGAGCTAAAAACAAATAACAAAAAGGCATAGTATCTAAGACAGCGTCTAAAAAAAAAAAAAGAACAGTGACATAATAATATCATCAGCAACGATTCAAAGTTTGAAAAAAAACATTCAAGAGTTAACAAATAAGTTCAGCTTACAGATTCGACAGTCTTCACCAAACACAGTGAAAGTTTTTGCACTTTCTCACTTTTCTTTCAGAACGAGTTAAGACTCTCCATATGTGAATCACGAATCGCTTACAACGCAAGCCAGTCTGATTAAATCACTTTTACTTTCTCCGTAACTCTCTCTCTCTCTCTCTCTCTCTCCATTTCTCCCTCCTCCTCTCATCATCTCATCTTGCTCTCATTTTGCATGAACAATCAAATTCTTTTATGAGTCAATCTATCAATCTGATCAATCCACATTTTTCTCTCGGACTTTCCCTCTTACACCACTTTCTACCACTTTATCTCTCTCTCTCTCTCATCCCCTCCCCCTCCTCTCTGTCTTTTCGCTTTTCTCTATCAAACACAGAAACATATGAATAAGAGAACATGCAGCACACAAATTTGAGCATCTATCGTCGGAGCGTGAATTTTGATTTAAAGTCTGGAGGTAATGGGACGAGTCCTTTCTGGCGAGTGGTGGCTGGTGGCTGACCTTCCACCTCTGGCGACAGGTCAAAGTTGAAGAGGATTGAGGCCAGGAACGTGGACAGGATGCTTTGGGCAATGCCTGAGGCTGGACATCCCCGGATGCCTGGACAAAAAAAAAGACAGAAAGATATTACACACAATGGAGTGGAAGAAAAGCAAGTGGAATCCAGTCACCTCTTTTCAGTTGCAAATTTTACTCAATGCAAAAGCAACACAAAAATGATCATCTACCAAATGTGATTATATTTTTTGCATAAAACCAATGCAAATAAATTTGGCAACCTTTTGATTGCCATCACATTGCTTACCAGCCTATTACAGCATAAAATACACTTGGATGATTTGAATTGAACTACAAATCATGTTGCTCTTATGTATACTATGTTATCTAAACTTGCAGCATTGAAAAGTAGCAAGCTTTGAGCAAACGATAATATTTACCTTAATATTATACTACAGGCAAATTCTAAAGGCAGCATAAAAAAGTACCTGTGCATAAAATCAAAAAAGTCTAACAGGCAAAACAGAGATAGGGTTAAAATCCTGGCAGCATTAGGTTTAGATTTCTAGATCTAGTTTTGTTTAGTTTCAATTTAAAAATGCATATCATCATAGTAATAGACATTTGGTGCTGAAAAAGAGCCAGACTGACAGACAGACAAAAAAGCAGAGGGACAGTGAAGAAGTAGGACATGCTAAATACTGCACTATTGATGAGGGCAGAAAGTAAAAATCTCACCGAGGAAGAAAGGAATAAACTCAGTTGGCACTGAAATTTTCCCATCAGCATTGATGAACCTGTCGGGGCGGAAGACGAAGGGATCACCCCAGATGTCAGCATCCATCATCAGAGAGTCCAAGTTCGGAAGAATCACAGCATCACCCGGTACCCTAAGCAAAAAAAGAATTGTTGCAAAAATTAAATAAAACTCAATAGAGAGCAGTGCAGGTCTTCTGCCATCTGTTTCCAGGAACTACATTTGATTTAGATGAGGTCAGTCCCTCTTATAGGCCAACTTAACTGTGTACCTTAGAATAAATCAACCTCCTTTCTTCCTTCCATGGTGCAGCTATCCATCAAGAAAGTCTTTCTGTAGTGAGAGACTGAGATTTAGATAATAACAATGAAAGTGACCTTAAAGTAGACATGATGATCATGGATCTAGCCACAGCAAAGTTGAATCAGCAACCACCAGATGGACGGAAATACTTGACAAAATAATTTCCCCACGTGGGAATCAAACTTGCATCTCTTGCATACAAAGGCAAATCCTCACACCACAGACACTGCTTTCCCTTTTGTCATGATACCTTCTCCTAATCTATTACCGATGTCCTCATCTAATCATTTTCTTTGTTTATCTTTTCCTTCCATTCTGCTCCACAGAACTTTTTAAAGAGTATTTTCTAAAATACTTAGTGTTCACAGGACCATATGAGCTTAACATCTAGCAGCACAGCACAGAAATTCACAAGACAGGGCCTTCCATGCTTATATTCATTTCCAACTGGTTTGAATAAAGCAAGTGGAGATTTATGAAAACTCCTCATAAAAAAAACCCAAAGCTAAGCAGGGAAAAAATGAGTTTCACCTATCAGAGAACCTGTTGGAGAAAAGATGAGCTCAAAAAAAGAAAACACCAAATGTTCAAGAATACCCTTTTTGAAATTCAAACCACCACTAAGCTAACCCACGTCATAATCCCGTTAGACACCAACTGAGCTAGCGGTGCACCTGTTTTAAGAAAACACCAAAGCTACACACGTTGAAAAAGAGCACTCTCAAAACTAACATCCACAAACCACATCATTTTCCTATAAAATCACCTACTGAGTCACAGGTACAACTGCTGAGTTGTTTCGTTATGTTTCGTAAGAGTTTTACGGCACTTGCAACACAATAAGATCATATAAGTGCCGAAGAATAGAGGTGTTACAAAAGAGTAACATACACATAAAACAGAAGGAGAGATAAGGATGATAGATGTTCGATAGGAAAGAAGGAGGAAACCACACCAGAGCACCCACCAACCACCAACCCACTCACAACTGCTGTGAAGTTAGATGAGTCAAAAAAAGAAAAAAAGCAAACAGACCTGTAACCTTTGAGAAACTTCTCCTTGGCAACGGCATGAGCCATTGAGATCTGGCAGACGTTGGCACATCGCTGGACCTCATGGATGAACGCTTGGACGTAGGTGGGCAGCTCTGGAGGTGGCATCTGGGCACTGGAATCTTTCCCATCTTTTTCCTTCTCCCTCTCGGCCTCTGTGAGAATTTGTTTGTTGGAGTAAGGGGAAAGAAGTCATCACAACAAAGGTCATTTAAGTGCATGGAAGACAAAAGTGAGGAACATTTGAGGGAAAGAACAAAAGTGGAACCTACCAGTGTTACCATCTCAAACCGTTTACGTCTTGGTGAGAAATAAGTGGCATAGTTTTATAATAGACAAATAAATACCCGAAGTGGCCAGCCGTACTTGTCTTAGAATACATGCACGGACACTAAGGCACCTGGTTTCGTCTCAAATACAAATACTTTAGGTACTGCAAACTAAAAATGCATTTACAATTCAGCAGGCCTTTTTTTTTGGTCAGTCTAGTCGAGCCATCATATCAAAAATAAGTACGGCTAGCCCAGCTGTCTAGCCGTAGCCAACCAATCAAGCCGTACCTAGCCTAGCAGTCTAGCCGTCATTAAGTATGGCTAGCCTCTTCCATAAATACCAGCAGTATCACAGAATTAATTGTCTAGATGAGTCTCAGATCAACATCATTATACTCTTTATCTCCGAGGGGGATAAACCCACAATGACAGAGTCCTTTATTGGTACTGAATATTAAAATGACAAAAACGTCATTGAATGGGTCATTAAATCATAACAAATGAACCTATTTTGACAGTTCTTCATCTGATAAAACTAATTCCCGGTAAAAGAGACCTGTTTTCGGCAATTGCCAAAAAGGAATTTGATGTCGGAAGTCGTCGTAAAGGAATGTGCCTATGCCGCTGCCAACAGCTCTTCGGCACAGCAGTTCCGGACGCGAGCTGCTGGGAGCGGCTTGCCGGAGATAAAGAGTTAAATATTCTGTTGTAAACTGTATGTAACCAATTATCTTGATTGTTTTATAATAATAATAATAATAATTGCATTTATACAGCCCATATCCATGCTCAAGAGCATGCTCTTTGCGCTTTACAACTATTATTACCCCAGCAGACCCTCTGAGAACACTCAGAAACATTCTCGGCTTCTACGGAAGCATACAGTGCAAGGTGTGTATTTCACGCGCTCAAACACTATCAAACTGACAAGATCGTTCACTATTTATAGCCGGGTACCCATTTCCACCTGGGTGAAGTGAGGAAAAATTAGGCAAAGTGCCTTCCCCAAGGACACAACGTCGAACCCCTGATGGGATTCGAAACCACGACCTTACTGTTACGAGTCCGAGAGCCTAACCACTAGGCAACCGTTTTATATTTGAATATGTTGGCCAATGAAACACACCATAACTATTAGTTGGTTATTCCTCTAAATGCTAAAAGAAACACGCTCACCGTGGTCATTATCAACAACCCACAAAATATTGGGACTTGGGTATCTCCAACGAGATAAAGCATTAGATTACATCACAAATTCAAGTTTTACACCAAATCAGTCAAATGAAACCAAATGAAACTACAAAAAAGAAAATACTTCTTGCTTGCAAGGGCCAAAATTGTAAATCAGAAGTCTCTCCCTCTTCTTTTCTCCCTCCCTCTTTCTCTCGAATTACAATATTAAGATATTTAGAAAAAAAAGAGAGAGTTTACGCTACCGTTCGAGGTAAAGAGCAGGTCCAACTGCTCCTGTAGCTTCTCCTTCACATCGGGATTGCCAAGGAGGAAGACTAAGGCCCACTGGAGGGTGGCGGCTGTCACAGTTGTCCCGTGCCACAACATGTCGTAGAGCACGGCCTGGCAACTTTTCTCTGTATGTGTAAGAAGTAACAAGAGCATTGCAAAAGTAAAGTCTTTGAGTGCTCTCATGAACCAAAACTATCTTTACACACAAAGGCAATGTGAAAGTCATATCTTCAAATTCTTCTTCTTTCACAACATTAACAAGAAGATTACATAAAATAAGATGTCAAATCAGGAGTCCTAACGACATATAAACCTGCAATGTGTTCAACTGTTCAAAGCCTTAAAAGCAAAATTTTCAGGAAAGCCGTTAAAACCCATTTCATTGTCTTAAAGGTGGCACACAAATTATACATCTTTCCTCGCTTTTTTGTTTTCAGCATTTAGAATTTGTATTGCAATAAAATACTTCTGAAGCAGAGGCATCTGAAAACACAGATTTAGAAACTGCAATTTGCCTTTACCAAAAAGTTCATACTAACGCAGATATTTTCACTCTTCATTGAGGTGCTACCATTTTTTTTAACATAACTTTCACCTACAGTGCCTCATTCTGGCATGATAAAAGACAGTTATACTTCTATGTATCCCTACTAGCAGACATCCCCCCCCCTCCCCAATCATTTTTTTAAATGGGACTCACCTCTACAGTGGTGCCTTTCCCATTTTGTTTCCCTACTAGCAGACACCAGCACCACCCCCTTCCACCCCTTCCCTATTTTTTCAGGCGACTCACCTTCAACAGTGGTGCCTTTCACGTCTTTCTTCTGTTTCATTTCTGAGAGGTAGACGTCCAGAAAGTCCACCACCTTGTCTTCGCTATACTCCTCCCTGTGCTCCTCAAACACCGGGTTGATGATCTTCTGGTGAATCTCCGTCATGTTGATGCGCAGGAACTTCACGTCGAAAAAGTCTCCCATCAGAAACTTTTGAAAGGGGAAGAAATTCGGGAACTTTGTGTCCGAGAAAAGCTCCAGGTTCTCCTTGAAGCGCGACATGGCTTTCTCGAACCTCACGTCCGAGTACTCCATGCGGCGGGAACAGATCACAGACGTGAGGGCGTTGAACACAGCACTCTCCATCAGTACCTGCAACAACAGCAAAGGAAGATAGCAGCGTCTAGACAAAAGTTGCTTTTTTTTGGTCTATAAAGGGATTTTTTGGTACTTGTTTGCATGCTGTTGTGGAGATTGAATACTGTACTTGATATAGTATAAGTCATTTCAAAGGCAGAGCACCCAAAACATTTCGATACCTTAGAAATTACAAAGTTCTATCTGACATTTTTGGACATTTTGAGTTACAAAGACCTTATGGTCAGAAACCAAATTTTCTAACCGCTCTATCAAAATCGTAAGATTATTCTGCGCCATTATGTAGATATTTAAAGAATTGCATTTGAAAAGCTTGACATGTTGTAAAACTCTCAAATTTTTTACTGAGCAGATAGAACTTTGTCAAAGGTTGCGATTAGGCATTATAAGAAGCTCAAACTTCCACATGATGTTTAGTCCAAAAACAACGGTAAAAAACAGACCCACCAGAAAGTCCACCCCTTTAATAATGTATCAACCCATCCGAACACCAATGCCCAGATGTACACTTGTGACATTTACTTTGATCCAAAGTAACTTCTCTCTTTCTTTCCTTCTTCCTATAACTATACATGTTTAACAGAGCATTTAACTTCATTTAAAAAAAAGAAAAGGAAAACTCACCTTTGAATCAAAGGCTTCACCATCTTTTTCTTTCAGCGCCGACACAAGACATGCAGCCTCCCTTCTGACTAATGGGATAACACTGGATTTGATGTGCTGTAAGCCAGCCTCTGTGATTCTCCTCTGCTCCCGCCACTCGCGTCCAGAGTTGCATAGGACACCTACAGGGAAAGTGAAGAAAAAAATTAAAGACATGACCATTGGAAACACCAATGAAACAAAATAAAGTCAAACCTGCTCTAACGAGCATTCGTCAAAGACAATCACCTGTTCGAACAACCACTTCCCACCTTGCGTTTTTTGTTATTTGTAATGATGCTGTCCAAAAGGACCACTAGTCTACCTAACATAGTCTTTATTGGGGAGGGGTAAGTGTAAAGGCAATATGAGTATGCGGGACATTTAACATTTTCAGTTGGTAGATAATTTTGAATTTGCCCTGGTGGCCCCAGAAGCTCACTGCACTCTTAGTGATTTTGGACCACCAAGCAATCTTCAACATGCGCAAGTTGCACACAGGACCTCCGAGATTTTGTGCCCTTGTCCGAGAAGGCTAGGTGTAGATCTTTCCTACCATAAGATCAGGGGTGTGGCTGAAAGACAGCAGTAAGAAGGAGCCAACAAGTAGCAGTAGAAAGGCTGCACAAAGAGTTAGGAGCCCTGAGAAGGGGGCAAAAATTTCCGTCGCTAACACAGTCTAACATAGTAATCACTGTAAAGGAGCAAATCACACAAAAAATATTTTTTTCATTAACTCACATCGGGGGAAAATAAGTAAATGAAAAGTGGTACTGTCAAAAGGCTATCTTAGAGCATTACTCATTATACTCGGAAAAGAAGCTAAGGGAAAATTCAGGCCGAATGCATCATGAGAGAAAAAAGTAAAGAAATGTTGTCTCAACCCACAGCGAAGTACATCGATACATCAACCTGAAGACAAGTTTAAGGAGCAGGCGACCCACATTGAAAAAAAAAAATAGAGATGTCTTGGCATGTAACATTTTACTGAAAAAAACAAAAAAAACAAGTGCAAAACAAATAAGAAAGGTAAACATATTTCAAACTGCCAAGCCCTACCACCAAATTTTAAGAATGAAAAATAAAATGAAAGCACTTCAAAATATCTCTAGCCTGAAATTTCTTCTTATTTGGTGCACAGGCCCAGGAGCACCACATTAAAGCTTTGGATATAAACAGCTCTGTACAACATGTGTCTTTTTTAAGCCAAGAATTACATTGCATTGAACCAAAGTGCATAATAAGAAGGTTACAGTGAGCTTACTTCTAAAAAAGCCCAATTTCCCAGTTCTTTCATACAACACGGAAAAATATCCCTGTCAAAGATGAATGAACAATATAAATCAAAAGAAAAATATATTTATATATATATATCTACATATATATTTAAATGTGTACAGGAGGACCCTGATACTCACCATAATGGAACAAATCACAAACTCGAGTGTTTGGCCTCCAGTGAAATTCCTCCCCTCGAGTCATGAATGCTTCTTTGATGGCAGCCATTCCATTGACTACTATCACCAGCTGAGCATCCACATAAACACTAAACACCTCTCCAAGCTCTTTCCTCAAACGACGCAGTATCATGATAGGGTCACCCCTTAATAAAGGTCTGTGCCCCACAATGGGGAAAATGAACCATGGATTCGGTGGAATATCGTAGGGCCGTCGAACGCAAAGCCACAGAAGAAGGGAGCTAACTGACAAAACGACAGACAAGTTTGGGTGGTCGTACACCTGATCGACCAGAAAGTGGACAGCGATGTAGATCGACATGATGGCAGGCAGGGGATTGAAAACTCAATCTCTTCCTCAAAAGCAGTGAATGAAGGTCTGTGAACGAAAAAAAGCACAGTAGAAGCAAAACTAAATCCAAAATTTTTCAAAACAAAGAAATAATAATAATAATAGTAATTGCATTTATATATATATAGCGCATATCCATACTCAGGAGCATGCTCTATGCGCTTTTCAACTATTATTACCCCAGCAGACCCTCTGAGAACACTCAGAAACATACTCGGCTTCCGCGGAAGCATGTAGTGCAAGCTGCGTATTTCACGCGCTCAAACACTATCAAACTGACAAGATCGTTCACTGTCTAGCTGGGTACCCATTTCCACCTGGATGAAGTGAAGAAAATTTGTGCAAAGTGCCTTTCCCAAGGACACAATGTCGGGCCCCTGATGGGATTCAAACCCACAACCTGAAACCCCCTTTGCCTTGTATACAAGTGAAATTTTACTGCTCATTTTGTAGGCAAGATCAAGAATCTACTGATAAAAAGGAAGTGGCTATTCTCACCCGGGGTGAGAATAGAAATACGATCTACCTCTCACCCCGGGTGAGACTTGCCAGCATAGGCTATTCTCACCCGGTGTGAAACAAGACCTGTTTTTCCTCATTTCGGAATACTTTCTATCGGTGTGGATGATCAAATTGATAAAAGCCAAGAAAAAATTACGTTACACAAAAGTAAGCTAATTTGATCGTCTTCAAAGATGCTGTGGCTATTTCACTTTTCGAATCAAGCCGAACTACGCGGATCGCCATTTTGTTTTGCCCGAAGTTCTCGCAAGATCTACTCCTCCCCTCTCTCTCTCTCTCTCTCTCTGTCTCTTTCCGAATACTGTCTATCGGTGCGGACGATCAAATTGACCAAAACAAAGTTTAAAAATGATGTTAAAACACAAAAGTAAATTAATTTGGTCGTCTACAAAGATGCTACGGCTGTTTAACTTTTCGAATCGAGCCGAACTACGCGGGTCGCCATTTCGTTTTGCCCGGAAGTTCTTGCTACTCCTCTCTCTCTCTCTCTCCACTGCCCACAGACAAAATTGCACGCTTTTAGGCTAACACTAACAGTAGTAATAGAAGAACGTTTTATAAGATAGAGATAGCTATAAGAGAGAGAGAGTGTAGAATTCTGTGGTTCAGTGTGAAAGCTTAACTGGTTGGCCTAGGCTATACTATAACGGTGAATGCCCACCGGGTGAGAATAGCCAAAAGACTCGCCTGCGCTATTCTCACCTGGGGTGAGAATAGAGAGAGGTAGCCGATAAAAAAACATCGAACCAAACACTTCAGTTCAGTCAGTATCGATATCCAGTCTTTGAATGTGTGATTTGGTGCTAGAATCTTGATCTAACGGGACCACAATTGTACAGGAGTGCCCAGAACTGGTCAAATTCATGATCATCACACTGCAGATGCTGCTTCCAAAGATAAATTTCAAATTCCATCAAATTATGATCAATCTTTCTTCTCTCTAGTCTAGAAGTAGAGTCTAGACTCTGAAAATAACAACGATTACATTACAAAATGCATAGGTCTAGCAAACAGATCATTTCAAGTAAGATCAGAAAAAGGTTTCCTTTATAATATAAAAGAATATTTACCAGAACCGACTTGTGGACTTTTCACTTCTTAAACGGGGAAGCTCTGCAACACACAAAACACAATCATTGGAGACACGATACACAACAAATTTGCTGAACGATGTAGCAGTTTCACCGGCGGAAATGCTCGGACTTTTTAGAGATTCATTGCAAAACTAAAACGGTATCCTTTTTAGCCACAAAACAAGATTGCAAGAGGACCTTATGTGTAGAGTAGCCCTAGTCCAGTATTTTTTTTTCTCAATAATTCGAATATAAATAGAGGTGTTCTTGGGTAATTAGACGTTTAAAAAAGCATTGATTTGGCATACTTTCCTGTGGTGTCGACGTCCGTGCATAGACTGAAACAACCCACGCAAGAGATGAACTCATCTTGTTTGTAATTGTAAACAACTCGAGCTACTTTTGATTACACTTGTACAAACTTACCATTAGCCATTATAGTGGCATTAGGCCCCATTTTTCTTTAATTGTACTGTTTCGTCACTCAACTCTTGTTTTGTTTGTTGTTGTTGTTGTTGTTTTAAAATTTACAATTCTTTACTCCTCCAATTAATTGTTTGTCGCAATGAAAACGGGGTCATAAAAAGTTCAAGAAATAGACAGCAGCTAGCCTAAATAAAGACACCCTAGACTCGAGCTAGGCTAGGCGGTAAGCTATAATGAAACACGTCCCTCCAAACTCAGATATAGATCTAGATCTAATTATCACGCCAGGCCTATTTATATAATATGCATGCATTGGCACTGTCCTCACAGATTTAAATGCCCATGGATCACGTTTTGGACTGAACATGAAAAGGGCAGTCATAATTATAGGCGGCCACCAATGTAAGCAATTAAATTATTCTAGTGTCCCAATACATTATCTAGGCTAAGCCTAAGGTCTACGTACATGCCTTCTCATTTTGCGCAGGTACAACTAGAATTAACAACAACAACAACAACAACAACAACAACAACAACAACAACAACAACAACAACAAACAACAAAATCAACAGCAACAACCGCAATAACAACAACAAAGGATTTTTAAAAAGCAAGAAAACAACTGCAAAGGGTCAATTAAGGCTATATCATCTCAGAAATAAAAGTAAGCTAATTAATTTGGACAGTCTACATGGCCAATTGTCAGAGAAGCAAAAACAACCTGAAAAAAAAGTGAGGCCAGCAATCGCGGACGTTATTTATTTATCTTTTTATTCAGTCCTTTTTAAATTGCATCACCCAATTGTCTAAAATGTCTACCTTTTTAAGTTAAATTTTTATTTTTAATTTATTTTATTTTACTTTGGGGCAGGGGGGGGGGGGTCTACTGGCATTATGATAACAGAAATCGAAGATCTTGCTCGAACATTGGTAACTACAACTATGAATTAAAAGAAGTGTCATGGTAGTTGATAATTCTTTCCTATTTTCTGCCATATTGAGCCATACAAAGTATGATCAATTTGTTAAAAAGGGATGCATACAAAATTTCAACCTACATTCCACTATATTTCGATGAATTATAGAATAACGCTTACACGAGGAAAATTGATTCCATCTTTTCGGACAAACAATATAATTTTTTTTTATCCCGCTTAGTAATTAATATTCCCTCAAATCAATATAGGCTGTCAATGCTGTACGCCCAAAAGGCCTCGACACTCTACGTCTAATGCATCAACTGGGTAACAAAGATAGGTACAGAATTTCATTTTCACCTCATCCATTGAACTCCTACAATCTTAATTAATCATCTTGAAGTATATAAGTATTTCTATGAGATTTAAAGCATACACTAACAAAATACTACCCAAATACTATGAGAATACGTAACGGAGGCAATTAAACGTATCTAGCTTTTCGTCATCGTCATCTAGCTTTTAAACATAATTAATTGCTGGTTATAATTGTTCGTGTATCATAATATGTGAGGCAGCGTGGTGGAATCAGGCTCTCGTCAAAATAATCAAAGTGAAGAAACTTGCATTTTTCCACAGGTTTGTGAATTTTTATCAATTTTTTGTTTTTGGGCTCAACACCTTTCATGCCCATTACAGAACCCATATTTGTGTGGATGTTTCTGTAAAACGTTGATTAAAGGCTCAAAAAATGTAAATTTTCAGTTACCACGGACTCTTAAGCTAAGGAAATAACGAATCTTTGGCAACCATTATCTCACTAATTTTACCTCTGAAAACAGGTGACACCCACCTCCTTCATTCGCAAATATCTCGACTTGTATTCAGGACAAATTGATATTTTTTTTCATTCAAATAAAGACAAGTGAACAAGCTTTAAGATGATATCAATAACTCTAAATGCCCAAAAATTGACGAGAGCCTGATTCCACCACGCTGCCTCATATATATATATATATATATATATATATATATATATATATATATATATATATATGTGTGTGTGTGACTGTAGGTCTCTTTTTGAGTGCAAGTATATTGAGTGTATGTGTATAGACGTGTGTGGAAGTGAGGATTTGTGAGAGCAGAGTATGTGTGTGTGGGTGCACATGCATGCGTGCGTATCCGCATGCGTGGGCAGGTGTGTGCAAGTGCGTGTGTGTCGGCGCTGGCGCGCGCGCGCACGCGTGTGTGTGTGTGTGGGGGGGGGGGGGGGGGGGGTGCGCATGCATGCGTGTGTGTTGTGAAATACCAAACCAATTGTGCCAACAACTGGGCAATAAAGACTTATATTTTAAATCTTATCTCTATACAATCTTTATCTTACCTTATACCAATGGTAGGCTAATTTTTCAAAAACTTTTCTTTTTTCTTCTTAAAGTTATATTTAATACTACATGTACGAGGGGCATACCAAAGTTTTTTACCTGACCAAGAAGGAATAAAGGTAGGAAGCTGAAATTTGGTGCTAAGCTTAGTCTTTCTTTATGTAGTCGCCTCCTAGAGTTATAAATGTTTGCCATCTGTGTATGACCTTGAAAAGACCTTGAGGATAGAGGGCCCTCTCTATGTCAGAAAACCAGCCCTTTACCGCTTCTTTGACTTCATCATTAGTTTTTTTACTCCCAGCATATGATGGGCAATCGGTTCCATACACGGCATGCATCTCCGTAAAACATCCTGTAGTTGCTTGCCTTGCAAGAACAAATACTTCATACCTCAATTTTCTCCATTTTTATGTTGGAAATGGAGAACAACATACCTCCATTCACTTATAGTGCGCTAGTGGCAAAACTTGTTACAAGAAAATAATTTTATAGTGAATCCAGCCTTTTTTTTAAAGTGAAAGTTTTACGGCGCTCACAACTGCATAAGGTCATAATTATTATGAGCGCGCGAACACACCTTTGCACCAAAGGTTCCCGAAACATGCGTTCAATAAGCATAATGCCGCGATAAGAAAAAACATGACGGACTTGCTTTTAAAAGTGATTATTGCCCCAGCTGAAAATTGTAAATCTTTTAAAATTCTATAGAAACCACCCACTTTGGTTTTTAAGTAGCAGCCAATTTATTCAGGAATTTTCTAGAATACAGCTAGCAGGTGTTCTGTGAAGACAAATTGATACAAATCATTGTGCCAAAGTTGTAGAACGTGTTCGATAGCTGAGGAGATATTAATAAAAATAAGTTGCACCACGAATTTTTGACCACACTAGACTCTATAGTTGCCTATTTGGGGCTTGGTTTGTCGTTGGGTTGTTCAGGGGTAGGAGAGAGAGAGAGAGAGAGAGAGAGAGAGAGAGAGAGAGAGAGAGGAGAAAGAAAGATGGAGGAGACGGAGAGGAAGAGAAAGATTTATGAAATTCTTAAATTCACACTTTCTTCCGAATTATAGTCGTGCAATGGTTTTCTTGGTAAAGATCAGCGTTAGACAAAATGTTAAAGCCCTTCATGGTCTGATGGCAGTGTTAGATTTACTACAATGACCTCATTGTCAATGTTTGTTTGTTTTTATTTGTTTTGTTTTGTTGTTGTTGTTGGGTTCTTTTGTGAGAGGTTTTTTTTTTTCTAGTGTTTTCTCTTGGGGGGGGGGGGTCGATATAGTAAGCCAACATAGTAAAACTTCACAACTTCACCTTCACCTTCAGCCATCCCGTGGACTGGGTGTCCGTCGGGGCGCTTTTGAAGATTTGGCCATCAGCTTTCTCCACTCCTTCTGGTCTTCAGATTTTCTGAGTGTGCCTTTGAGTTCCAGGCCTGTCCATTCCTTGATGTTGTCGTCCCAAGTCTTCGGGTCTGCCTCTGCTCCTTTTTCGTGGACGCTGCCTCGCAGGATCATCTTGGAAAGGCCGGGTGATGTGTCCATACCATTGCAGTTTGCGTTTCCTGACCAGAGTTAGTAGGTAAGTAGATGGTCCAATTTCATTTTTGATACCTTGTTTGACTTCATCATGTGTGATGTGATCTTTGTATGAGATACATGTACCAAGGATTTTTCAGAAGCAACTCATCTCCACAGCTTTGATTCTTCTTCCAAGGTCTGCATTCAAGGTCCAGGATTCACATACGTACAAAAATACTGACTTGACCAGGGAACACATCAGTCTGATCTTTGATCTGATGGTGATATTTCTGTCGTTCCATATGATTTTCAACTTGGTAATTTCTGCTGAAGTTTGCGCTATTCTGAAGATTATTCCTTGTCTTGTTCCTTCGTCTGTCACTATTGCACCCAGGTATTTGAAGCTGCGTACGGTCTCAAGCCTCTAGTAGTTGACCTGGATGTCCACTGTGATGGTTTTTTTGCTGTTAGACTTCAGTTTGGCCTTCTCAGCGCTGATTTCCACGCTGCATGCAGGCTGAGGAGGTCTTTTCAAGACGGTCCATTAAGCTGACTAGTTCATATTATTGTCCTGCAAGGCCATCTATGTCGTCTGCAAAACGTAAGTTATCAATCTTTCTGTCCCCAATATTTACTGTTCCTTCGTGATCTTCAAGTGCATCTTGCATGATCCTCTAATAGAAAATATTGAAAAGAATGGGTGAGAGCAGACAACACTGGTGTACTCCCACTATTGTTCGGAAAGAAGTATTCATCGAATTTAAGAAATTACTAGCAGCCCCCAATGGAAACCCAACTCTTCAAGGAAGGACTACTCAAGAAGAAGAAGAAGATGAAGAAGAAGAAGAAGAAGAAGAAGAAGAAGAAGAA